TGTCAGGGCACGGGAGGTGCTGCCTTGTCAGCTGGCCAGCCTGAGTTCACCCTTTTTTTAAAGCCATTTTTCGCCCTCCCCAGGCTCTAGAGGCTTTATAGGAGCCTGGGGAGGGTGAAAAGCGCCTATACATACACACACACACACACACACACACGCCCTCCAGAGGCTTCATGAGCTTCCCTGAAGCTTCCAGAGCACAAAAAACGGCCTTACGGGCAAACCAGAAGTTCGGGAATGGACTTTCGGTTTGGTTGGAGGGTCGTTTTGACTGCTCCGAAGGCTTCAGGAAAGCCTCCTGAAGGTCCCTGAAGCCTCCGGAGGGCTTCCAGGGCAGGCGGGGGAAGCTGTTTTCTCCCTCCCCATGCTCCAGAGGCTTTATAGGAGTCTGGGGAGGGAGAAAAAAGCATGCAAAAAAGGGGGAGCACCTGTAGTGCGTGCATGCGCACTGGAGGTCGCACATTGTATTATGGGTGTGGCACGCCCGCACACAACCCCCCCCTGCGCTCCTCCCACTTATGGTGCACGAGGCAAAAAAGGTTCGCCATTGTTGCTCTAGAATTTCATATTTCAAAAGTTCTATTTTGAAATTACTTTGCCTCAGCAGAACCAAAACCTAGAATATCTGAGTTGTTCAGGTCTCAGGTGAAACAAAATATGGAGTAGGCAAGTCAGGGCTGGTAGGGTTTTTTCATTCATTAAGATCAATCTATCCTTTTGGCCAGCCTGGATCTGAAGTTCGGGCTGTCAGTTTATTTTCTGTTCTCAGGAAGAAGTATGAAAGTGCCCACAGACTGCAACTTTATGTGGGAAGAAAAGGCTCCCCCCCCCCCTGATTGTGAAGAAATGTAGACCTGCCTTAGGAATGATAAAGAATGAATTAACTATTAAGTGGGGAATTGTAGAAAGGATGACAGTCTTAAGAAAGAGGATACCAAAGAGGACATCCAACACAAACACACAAGCACAGAAATGAAATAAGGAATTATTCAACCAGATTCAACAGGTGACAACTGGTGTCTTTATAGACAAGGACCCTGATGGTAAACTTATGGCACGCTTGCCACAGATGGCACATGGAGTCATAGTTGCTGGCATGGCAGCCCTCAGCAGCCTTCAGCTCCAGCACGCATGATTGCGCCAGCCAGTTGATTTTCAAGCTTCCAGAGGGCTGCGGGAGGCCGTTTTTGCCCTCCTCAGGCTTCAGGAAAGCCTCTGGAGCCTGGGGAGCGCAAAAATCCCCTCCTCTGCACAGGGGGCGCTCACACATGCACAGGGAGGTTGCTTGCGCAGGGGGGGTGAGGACACATGTGCGCGATAGTACGCATGCACACAGTTTTGGCACACCTTTAGAAAAAGGTTAGCCATCACTAGATTAGGATAAATGCCCAAGAAGTTCTATGAAAATCTCTTATCGAACATAGCTTATTTGGCCAGTAGTCATGGCTATAGTCTGCAAAATCTGGAAGGAATCGGGTACTTAGTGGACCACTTTATATATTACATTGCCAAAAAGGTTTATAGATCATTGGTGCTTGAAAATAAAAATGAAGTATCTTTATGTCATGATAAATTGTGTTAGCCACACAATTGTGTTAGCCACCCTCAAATAACCTCATGAATAATGCAAAAAAAAAATTCTTCCTGAAAGAAAGTTTATTTCTCGCCATGGATGACTTAAATGGGTCTGTGTTTCTGGACATAGTGTAGATAGCAATTCCTGTTTTCTGAAACAAAAGTGGTGGTCCAATCATCCCAAAGGTAAAGGTAGTATTGATTGATTCTTCTTTCCCAGGTCTCAATAATTAGGCCAATGAAGTATAAATCCAAAGTATTACTATTTGACTAGAGTGGTGGGATTTTAGTCTGACAAATTAATAAGAGCCTGTTTATGTAAGGCTTCAGAATAGACTTTCACTGTATAGTATGAGGGATGCCAACAAAGCATGTTCTGTTTTCTTGTTCTATGAAAGGCATGATAGAATAGGCATTTTCTGTACAAAAGAGGAAATAGAAGAGGCTGAGAAGACTTGTGGGGGAACAGGGTACGGCCAATGGGATATTCGGGAACTGTTGTGGAGAGAGAAAAAAACATGAATCTCCATATCTTCAGTTGCCTTGGGTTCTTTGCACTCTTCTCCCTCTTAATTCAATCTATTTCTGCCTAAACAGCTAATTTCCTTCCAGGCAGGGACCAAATCAACAGAAACACCTATGTTTCTGCTCAGGCACAGGCATTCAAAAATATCTATTATTTTACAACTGTACTAATAAAGGTGAAAGTAATTTTATTGATAGTACTTCATTGTAACAAAACAACAAATGCATTATTATAATTTGATAGTTATAAATAATACTTGTAAAAAAATTAATCTTATTTTGCCACTCCAAAAGTTACTTTATTAAGAGTAATGTGCATTTAAAATATTATAAGCAAATTCATAATGAACTTCAAAAACTGAATAAATAAAGAAAAGAGGTATTGCCTGTTTCTGCCATAATACATATTTCATAATATAATGGGAAGTTATAGAAGTTGTAGTGACTTTTCTCCATGATAAATTTAGCTTTCCTATTAAATTTTGAATATTTATTAAATATAATATTAAAATTATTAAATTTAAGCAAGCTATAATATTCTAATTGAAAATAGCAAAACAGAATAACATTCTCTTACAAGTGAAGGTGAATATACAGGATAATGTTGCAGAATCTAATTTAGGTTGATCTTCGAAGCTTTTGGTGGAGCCCATACTCAGGGAACCTCTCTCCAATAGTGTGTCTCTTTGGGCTATTCTGTGTGTTGTATATGGTGCTTGTTGTGTGTGGCTTTTTAGTCACACCCAGATTGGATCCTGCAGAATATATTCTAATTTTATATTGTTATCTCTGGAACCAAACCATCCTGTTTCCAAATAAAATTTCAAAAATATTTAATTTACTAAAATTGGCTTTATTCAGCCGTTTGTATAGGGTAAAGTTGCCAGATAACCATAAGATTATAACCTATTGTAATTATCATATTATAATTGCTTAAATTATTTTCATTAGAGAGTAAAGTGGTGCGTCCATTTGAGACTGACAGTCTGGAACCAAAGATGGAGACAGCAACTGACAAGGTACAATGGTGTTTTGATTATTATTATTTTTATTAAAAAGTTTTAATACAATGGTTCTTTGAAATATTTAGTTATTTAAAGTTGCTTGTACTTAATTTGGAAGAACAAATATTTGAAATTAAGACTATTCAAGAAACATTGATTAAATTGGACTGTAATGTAACAAAATGTTCCATGAGCAGATTCTTGTTGGGAGAGTCTGCCCATGCTTATATTTTTGCTCCTTATTTGAAATATAGACTCTGTACCTAGTTGCTTGCCAACAAATAGAAAGTAGCTCAAAACAGTTGCAGTAACAGCTTTATTGAATATAGATGCTTATTTTAAAAAAATCCTAAACAACCTATGATCATTGAAACAGAAACTGAATGACCAAGAGCAAAAAGCAATGGGAGTGGGAGTAACTTCATGCCAACTTAACCATGGCTGACTGATCTACTCAGCCTCCAGAAAGGGCCATGGTTGGTCCAGTTTATATGATCTCCAATGGCCAAAGGAAAGACTAGTCTTCCCAGCCTCCAGATGATTAGGGCAGACCCAGTCTATTGAACCTCTGGGCAGTGGCACAGCAACATTTAAGTGACAACAAATGCCAACTTTCAATCCTATTGGTTCCTTTGGTCCGCAATTTATTAGTCATTCTATAAGTTAGCTCATTTGATCTACCTCAATTCAAAATTTGTTGCCTTGTGTATTTTTTTGTCTAGTTCAAGGTTACAGGCAAAAGAGTTCTAGTAGTACAACATATAGATGTATATGCTGCATGTATGTAGCTGTACATTGCTTGAAGTATTCCAGCTTCTAATTCATTTGTTTAATTGAAATATACTTCTTGTGCAGCATAGTCACAGTACCTTCTCATTTGACTTCCATTCACTCTGTTGGAAGCTCTGTGTTTAGTTCTTTTGTAAACACACACACACATACAATTCCAGGTAAGGCAAATCATATAGAAGAAGCGTCTGTCACTCTTGCTTTCTCCCATATTGATTTTTTTAAAGGTTTGAAAGCTCCCTTAGGGTTTAAGAGAGTTAGCAAGAGTGCATTTTCTATGCCATCATGCTTCCTGCCCTTGCTTTAGAGACAATACAACAGTATATTATTGTTGTTATTCTTCTGCAGTTTACTCAGCAGCATGCTTGCTTTCAAATAGAGGTGTATTGGGATTTGATACTATTAAAGTTGAAAGAGATTTTTTTTCTCTTTTCTTCATAGCAGCTGTTGTGTACAAATCCAGAAAAAGAACTTCACTATGAAGAGAAACAGCCCGAAGAGGTTCTCAAAAGTAAATTCATGTTTTAATGACAGTAATTTTTATGACAAGTCATAATTTCATGTCCCAATCAATGAAACTACAGTATGTACATTTAACAGGACAGTATATCCAGTCACTTGTGGTGTCTTGAGGTATTAAAAACAAAGCCTCAAAACTTAGTCTCTCCATTGCATTTCTAGCAGATTTCAGTTGAACTGAAGTAAGGGACTTGAGAACAGTGGATCTCTTCTTCCCTGGAAGTTTCAAACAGAGCAGGATGGCCACTGGTTGACAGTGATATAATTGATTCTTTCCCTTAGCAAGGGGTGAACTAATCGGAATAATCTTTTCCAACTCACATATTCTGTTATTCTAGTTGTGAAAGGTAACCTAAAGGATTTTAAATATTTGTTTACAATATATGCCAGTGTGTGGGTGATCATAGAGAAGTGAAAGTTGCCTTCTCATTGATCTCTAACAATGCAGTATTTCATTCAAAGGGACTAACATAGTTTCCTGCACAGTTTTCAAACTTTTTTCAGGACATGGAATCTACTGATGAAAAAATACATTCCCCAAACCCTCTTCTAGAAATTCTGCATACTCCTGTTTGCCCTCCTGTTGTTGGGTGTATAATTGTAGTTCAAATAAATGATTCCTGGATACTTGTTGCTTGTACTCCACAAAGAATAGCTAAAAAACATTTTCCCATGTAAGTTTCTTAATGGGAATCTACGTATCTATTCTGCATGACATTAAGTGTTAAAATGTACTTTTTTTTCCATTGGAGACATTTTTAGAACGCTCCTTCATTTGATAATATTCAGCCTAAGTAAAAGGAAGTTGTTCAAAAGAGAGTCAATGTCTTCTGTCAAAAATGTGTCTGCAATGCAGACCAAGAGCTTCATAATCCAAAATTGCAAGGAATGTAAACACCCGGTTGCTGTTTAATGAACAAAATCTAACTCTGTATTTGATGGTATATTTTTAAAACTGAAATATTATTTCCTTTGTATCTTATGTAGTAATAATAAAAGAAACCATGTGCATACTTAAAATGATTTTAAATGAGCATCACAATGAATAATTAGAATAGCAGACGTTAGCTGTATTCTAAGTTTATAATAGGAAGTTCCAGTAAACTGGAATTTTAAACAACTGGGAGTTGCAAGCTTCCTGTCAGTGGCTCACCTTGACTTTTCTAACTCCTGGGCCTCTTTCTGCCTTGGAGTGAACAAGTAGGGATCCTTTATTGTTTTCTTGGGGTTTGTGCAATCTGGTTAATAAGAATATGGGAGCCAAAGTCCTCTCTTAAGACCAAAATCTCTTCTGTTGCACTTAAACACGATGCTCTGTTATATTTTTAGACATGATGATGATAATGATGATGATGATAGGAGAGAATTGTAATTATTACCTTAGGATACTTTAATTAAAGAGATCATTAAATAGAGAATATAACATTTTTCCTTCACATCCAAGTAGATTTTTTTCCAACAAATTACATATATACAAATATCCTTGATTTATGACCACAGTGGAACCCCAAATTTCTGTTGCCAAGCAAATAGTTGTTAAGTGAGTTGTTCTTTATTTTACAACTTTTTTCCACAGTTGTTTAAGCAAATAACTGCAGGTGTTAAGTGAATCCTTTGGTTTTTAAGTGAATCTTTTGTCTTCCCCCATTGACTTTGCTTGTCAGAAGCTCTAGCTGGGAAGGTTACAAATGGTAATCACATGACCCTGGGACAGTGCAACTGTCATAAAGACATGCCAATTTTCCTGTGCGCTGCTTGGAGAGTCCAAGAATGGATTAAACTCAGCCAATCTGCCCAGGACTGAATTGAAATTTTAGCCACGCGTCTGATTGTCTTGACTGCCAGTTTTCTCAATTCATTTCAAGACCAGTCCTTTGCAGATTACTTGGACTCTTTGTTTTTCAAGTACCTTTTTTCTTCCTTTTTTCCTTTTCTCTTTTTTCCCCAGAGCAGGACTTGGTGAGTTAAATAATTTTGGTTGGATTCCGGTTCACCGGTGCAGTTTCAAGGATCCTGGGGTTGTCCGGGCGCCTGCTACTGCCCGGCAGGCTATTGGAGGCAGAAGAGTGCGGGCAGCGGGTGGGGCTATGTTTGATCGCCATGGCACCTTCACTTTTATTTTGAACTGTGCTTGATGTCACAGGTGATTTTCAGATCCTCTCTGCTGGTGGCGGCCATTTTGGAAGCCTTCCTTGTGGTGGCCATTTTGGAGGCCTTTCTTGTGGTGTTGGCCTTTTTGGAAGCCTTACTTGTGGCAGTGGCCATTTTGGAAGCCTTACATGTGGCGGCTGCCATTTTGGTTTGTTTATTTATGGCACGAAGCCTCTCTTTTGGTGCATTTTTTCTTCTGTTGCCAGAATAGCCTGCCAGTAGCCTCGCTCTGTGCAGATCGCCTACATAGCTTTCCTATTCGGGTTGGTTCAGTGGATCTGCTCTTATCTCTGATGATTGGATTGGGTGGCATAGGGATTTTAGGCCTCCCCCGGTCATACCCTTTTACCTCTTCTTCTGCGCTGGTTCTGGGAGCGCGGCAGCTCGCACCAGGGGATTTTTTCTGGCACGTCCTCTTGACACAGCCTTGTTTATATCTGTGGCCTCAGTGTGTCCCTTGTGGCCTCTTGTCTGCTGTGGTAGCAGGTGGTGAGTTATTCAATCCCTGATCTACCCACTGTTTGCAGGGGCCCCACCAGGGAAGGATGGCTGAACAGAATCCCGGGGTTTCAGGACAGCCGGGCACCTCTACTGGCAGGGACTACACAGACAAGCTGGCAGGGCAGCTAGGGAGCCCTTAAGGCATCCTTGCCATCGTCCAGCAGAGCAAGAAGCAGGCACAGGGCCAGGACAGGGATGCCTCACGTCGCCAGATAGCACCAGAGAACCAATTCTCTAAGGCCCAGGATCAGGCCACAGTTTCCCCTCAGGAGCCTGCCAGGGATGCTTCTCCAGTAGATCGGGCCAGGCCTGCACCTCCTATATCGGACAGTGAGGAGGAACAGGAATTTTCCCCTGAGACTTCCTTGATCACAGCCGGTTCCCCAGGGCCCTCGATGACTGAGCATGCTGATCTCTTTGATTGCCAGCTGGAAGTGGAGGAGGAGGTCATACCTGTGGGATCCTTAGCCCCTCAACAGGCCTTGCCCTCTGCACCCAAAAGAGCCCACCCCGCAGAGGACTGGGGCCCTGAGCTTTCCTGAGGGATGCAGGAGGTCATTGCCAGGGCCATTTCTCAAGGCATTGAGGCTGGGATGCAGTGAAAGGCCAAGTGTGTACAGTGGCCTAGGCCTAATCCAGGGCCTCCTGACCTGCACAGGGCAGACCAGGCACAAAGACCAGTGTCACCCCATTCCTTGCTGGACAGTGGGGATTCAGATTGGGAGGAGGACATTCTTCCAGGGCAGGAACCCGAGTTTTCGGGGGATGAAGGAACCATCCCTGACAAACCTGCATTCACAGGTTTTTTAAAACAAGCCAATTTCAAGACTATATTGGGTAAGGGTAAAGCCTCAACCCGATTGGGTTCTTCTGCCCCTGAACAACAACAGATCCCTTGGACCTCACTTCCAAAGTTATTCCTAAATGAGTGCAGAAACAGTGGGCGCAGCCGGGCACCCTTGCCACCCCTAGTGGTAGTGAACTTGGAGGACTTATTGAAGTTGCCCCCTGTGGACGCTTCGGTGGCTGCGCTCTCATTCTCCTCTGTCCTTCCCCCTGACCTTGAAAGGCTCAAGGCGGAGGTCAAGCGAGCTGAAAAGATCTACCACAAATCGCATCAGGTGGTTGCCTGGGCGATTAAGAGGTCTGCTTCCGCTTCTTTTCTATCCAGAACTTAACTTCTTTGGTTGAGATAGTTACTCACCAAACTCCCGGCTGGGGACACTAAGCTTAGACAGGATGTCAACAAAATCATTGCGGCAATGGAGTATACGGCTGATGCCACTCTGAATGCCGCCAAGTTTGGGTCTAAGGCCTTAGCATCCAATGTCGCCACCCAACGCCTCATGTGGCTCATACACTGGAATGTGGACATGAGGTCCAAGTTGAAGCTCGCTTCCGCCCTCTTTAAAGGGGACAAACTCTTTGGGGATGCCTTGGATCCTGTCCTTGTAAAGAACAAGGACAAGAAGAAGGTCATGCCTTTGGTCGTTAAGAAGTCAGAGCGCAAGGGTTCCCAAAGAATGTTCACAAAGATCACGGATTCTCTGTCAATCTGAAAAAGAGCCATCTCGAACTGAGGACCAGGTTGCAGCGCCTCGGCGCCATCATAGACACTGTGACCTGTCAGGTCTCCCTCTCTCCTAAGTGGATGGTAAGCATCATGGTCCTGGTGCATCAGGTATGACTCTCTCCTCAAACCTCAATTGTGCAATTGTCCCAGCTCTTAGGAAAAATGATTTCCTGCCTGTCCATTGTACCGTGGGCGAGGCTTCACTCTTGGCAGCTCCAGTGGCTCCTATTGCCGCACCAACGTGCCAACAACAGCAATTCTCCAAGGCTGATTTCGGTTCCCCTGCGGGTTCATCGCTCCATCCAGTGGTGGCTGACTTCCACCCTGGCGAAGGGCACCCTCTTCAAGGAGCCAGACCACCTGACCATCACGGCTGACGCCAGCCTTTTCAGCTGGGGGCCCCACTTCCGCAAACAAATCACACAGGGCAGGTGGTCGGAGACAGAGTTAACAGCATCAACAGGTTGGAGCTGAGGGTGGCGAGGTTGGCCCTGTTTCAATTTCGGACCGACATACAGAACCATCACGTGATGATTCTCACAGAGAATATAGCAACCAAGGCACACATAAACCGCCAAGAGGGTACCCAATCCAGATCCCTGATGGCAGAGGCTGAATCCCTGGGAAGGTGGGCAGAAAGACACCTGCTCTCGATTCAGGTGGAGCACATCTCCGGGTTGAACAACATCCAGGCAGATTGGCTAAGCAGGGCTAACGTAGACCATTCGGAGTGGCGCCTGCATCTGAACCTGTTTCATTGTCTGTCGCAGCCGTTCGGTTGCCCGTTAGTCAATCTTTTCGCCACCCCGAAGAACACACACCTTCCCAGGTTCTTCACACGATTTCACTCCCCTCTGGCGGAAGGTGTCAACGCCCTTCATTGCCCCTGGCCACTGGGACTTCTATATGCTTTCCCCCCACTGCCGCTCCTGCCCAGAGCTATTCGGAAGATCCTGGCGGAGGGCACGGAAGTTCTCCTCGTGGCTCCCTTCTAGCCCAGGAGGACCTGGTTTGCCGATCTGGTGAGTCGGTCTGTCAATCCACCGTGGTGGATTCCCCCAAGACAGGCCTCTCTCAACCAGGGGGTTCTTCAACATCTAGAGCCCCAGTGGTTGCAGCTAATCGTTTGGCACTTGAGAGAGACCTCCTGAGCAGGGGCAGGCTCTCCTCCAAGGTCATTCAGACCATCCAGGCATCCAAGTGACTGGCCACGACCAGAATATATGAATCTACCTGTAGATCCTTTGAAAGATGGTACATGATACACGAGATTATGCTGATAGCAGCTACCGTTCCTCAGGTGCTGGACTTTTTGCAAGATGGGCTGGACCATGGCCTGGCGCCTAATACCCTCAGGCGGCAGGTGGCTGCCTTGTCTACGATTTTTGCTCCGGACAGTGTCTCATCCGTTGGCCGTCACCCCACCATCCACAGCTTCCTGCAGGGTGCCACCAACCTGAGACCTCCAGTTGTTCATTGATTCCCATCATGGAGCTCGAGGTTGTGTTACAGGCTCTGATAGGCAATGCCGTTTGAGCCAATACAGTCCTCCAGTCTGAAACATCTAACCTTTAAGACCATTTTCCTGATTGCCATCACAACGGCGCGACATATCTTGGAGTTAGCAGCCGTGTCGGTTAGGGAGAGCTTGTGTCTGATACATCCTGACAGGGTGGTCCTCCGGCTGTACCCGGCTTTTATCCCCAAGATCAACACATGGTTTCACCGGGCCCAGGAAGTTATCCCGGATTTCTGTCGGCATCCCAGTCATCCGAGGGAAAGAAGATGGCACATGCTCAATGTTCGTTGAACCCTGCGTAGGTACATGAAGCGCACGGCGGCTTTCAGGCATTCCGAGTCACTCTTCATGTCCTTTCAACCTGCATCCCAAGGTCGCAAAGTTTCCTCCTCTACCATTGGTCATTGGCTGCGTGTCTGCATTGCCTTCGCTTACGTCCTGCAATCGAGACCGGTACCTCGACAGATTACCACGCATTCTACCAGGAGCACCACCACCACCGCGGCTTGGGTGACCCAGGCTCCAATAGAGGAGATTTGCAGGGCAGCTACTTGGACTTCCTTATCTCCCTTTGTTTGGAATTATAAACTGGATAAGTTTGCCTCTGCGGAGGGGACGTTTGGGAGGCGAGTCCTACAGGGCATTCATAGCAGCAGAGAGCTTCCCGCCCTAGTGACATTTAGCTTGGGTATGTCCCATTCTTGGACTCTCCAAGCAGCGTACAGGAAAACGACCATGGTATCATCCTCTCTACAATGCCCAACAGTTGATTGATTGCTCATTTTCTGAATAAATCCTTAGTTCAATACCACTGAGCACATGGACACAAGATATCTGCTCTAATTAATCATGGGAAATTAGGATTTGGAAGTATAGTTGATGGGAATGAAAAGACTATATGACTAGCATCCCCCCATCTCCCCTCAACTAAAACCCAGCAACTGACACAACCTTCAGGGATGAAGATTAGATATGTGGGTAGCATGCTTCCAAGCTCAATTTGAATAGAATAGAATTCTTTATTGGCCAAGTATGATTGGACACACAAGAAATTTGTCTTTGGTGCATATGCTCTCAGTGTACATGAAGAAAAATGAAATTCATTCATCAAGAATCATAAGATACAACACTTCGTGATAGTTATAGGTTACTAATAAGCAATCAAATCAAACTAGGAAACAAAACAATATAAATTGTAAGGATATTGTTTAACATGGTTATAGTCATAAGTGGGAAGAGATAGGTACGAGGAAGGATGAGAAGAATAATAGTAATAGAGTCTTAGTAAATAATTTGACAGTGTTGTGGGAATTAGTTGTTTAGTACAGTGATAGCATTCAGTCTTTGTGTCTAGTTGTTCTGGTGTGCAGTGCCCTATGTTTTGAGGGTAGACATTGAAACAATTTATGTCCAGGATGTGAGGGGTCTGTAGATATTATCACACAGCCCTCTTTTTGACTTGTGCAGTATACAGGTCCTCAATGGTAGGCAGATTGGTAGCAATTGTTTTTTCTGCAGTTCTAATTATCCGTTGAAGTCTATGTCTGTCTTACTTGATTGCAGAGCCATACCAGACAGTTATAGAGGTGCAGATGACACTAAATAATTCCTTTGTAGAACTGAATCAGCAGCTTTTGGGCAGTTTGATCTTTCTGAGTTGGCGCAGAAAGAACATTCTTTGTCTGTTTTTGATGTTAGGTGCCTTGAGATATGATAGAACCTAAAAATTTGAAGGTCTCTACTGTTGATACTGTGTTGTCTAATATTGTAAGAGGTAGTATAGAAGGGTTTCTCCTAAAACCTACTACCATTTCTATAGTTTTGAGTATATTTAGTTCAAGATTGTTCTGGTTGCACTACAAGGCTAGTAGTTGTTCAACCTCCCGTCTGTATGCAGATTCATCATTGTCTCGAATGAGCCTAATCACTGTTGTATCATCTGCAAACTTCAGTATTTTAACAGAGGGATCTTTTGAGATACAGTCCTTAGTATATATAGAGAAGAGAAGTGGGGGAGAGCACACAACCCTGGTGGGGAGGAGCTCCTGTGCTAATTGTACAGGTATCTGATGTGATTTTGCCTAGCTTCACCTGCTGCTTCCTCTCTATTAGGAAGCTTCTGATCCATTTACAAGTGTGGTCAGGTGCAGTTAGCTAGTTAGAAGAATATCTGGAATGATGGTTTTGAATGCTGAGCTGAAGTCTACAAAGAAGACCCTTGCATAGGTCTTTGGAGATTCAAGGTGTTGCAGGATGTAGTGCAGAATCATATTAACAGCATCACCAGTCAATCTATTTGCTTGGTAGGCAAATTGCATGGGGACTAACGTAGATCTATGATGGTTTCCAGGTTGGTCAGCACTAACCTTTAAAAGGTCTACACATGTTAGAGCAACTGGTCTGTAGTCATTCAGTTCCTTGATGGAGGGCTTCTTTGGCACTGGGATGATAGTAGAGTATTTGAAGCAAGAAGGAACATAGCACATCTCTAGTGTATCAGGGTTCCAAATAGCATCCAAAATTAAATCAGAGTCCAAGGCAAAGTAATGCTCAAAGTTCCAATTTATTAAGAGAGCCATGTTGGCACATCTGGGGGAAACCCGAATCTGAAGCTTCTTGGTTTGCCCCACCCAGTTGAAAGTTCAACTGCCCCCACACCCACAAGTCCATCATATGGTCCAATCTTCCACTGCCATGCTGGCAGTTCCACCCATCCAGTTCCGGTCAGGTGCAGAGATGTAGAGACAAAGGATGATCTTGGATTCTAGAAAGGAATTTTATTTTGGCTACATAGCATTCCATTCCATATCATCCCTCTCAATAGAAACAACATAGTAGAATAATAGAAAGTGTGGCAGGCCAAAGATCCAAAAAGGAATATGGCTGCAGGCCTGACATGGTGATTTATTGAAGATGCGGGTGAAGATGGGGGCAAGAAGCAAGAAGGAGTTATCTTGTCTGGTACTTTTCCTGGCTTTTGTCTGGGAAATAGACCAAAGAGATGGTGTGCCCAATGGGATGGGGTAGGTTGTAGGAGGCTTAGCTGCTGTTGATGTCTGAGATGGGGATTCTGGAAATGGGTGGCAGTAGTTTTCTACTACTGCTAGTTTTCTACTAATATGTTATGGCAACATCAGATTTTGATTAATATTTCTGTTTTTGTTTTTTTTAGCCTTTGAAAATACACATGCTATGGTCATAACAGAAGCAATAGAAGGTCAAATTCTTAAAGAAAAATTATCAGAGGTATGCACTGAGGTTTGGGGTTAAGGACTGGCCAATCCAAAAAGGCAGTCCTTGTCCTCATTTCTCCTCTCCTTTGGTTGTAGCCAGAAAGACCTAATCAGAACGAAGAGAATTTCATGCCAGAAGCAATGAGGAGTCCTACTATTGAAGAGGGTAAATGGGGGAGTTCAAACCATGGCCTTGCTTGATTGAGATAATGGTGCAAACAAGTTTTCATCCTTTTGACTGCACTTTTGGAAATTATTTCAAGAGAACATTAATGTTATTTTACAGATGGTGGTACACAATGCCAGATTTTGGAAGAGGAGGCCAAACAAGAAATTAATGAGGTATTGTGTGATTCATTAAAATACATTGCAAGAAATATATATATTATGGGCACATAATGATTGCTAATGATAGATCGTTTTCTTTTTACATCCAGTATCATTTCTGGATTTTTGTATATCCCTGCTTGGAATAACAATTATTATTTATAAATAAAAAAGAGAAGATTCATCTTAATCCATTTCAACTGTACTCATGCTCACTTGCAAGGTCTAATATACCCTTGTGGTTACAATTACCGGTTTACAAAGCCATCTTGCTTTGTACCTTGCTCCAGATGATGGTATGCAGAAAGTCTGATATTGAGAATAGAATAGAATTCTTTTTTGGCCAAGTGTGATTGGACACACAAGGAATTTGTCTTGTGCATATGTTCTCAGTATACATAAAAGAAAAGATATATTTGTCAAGAATCATAAGGTACAACACTTAATGATAGACATAAGGTACAAATAAGCAATCAAATCATATTAGGAAACAATATAAATTGTAAAGATACAAGTAACAAAGCTACAGTCATACATTAATAAGTGGGAGGAAATGGGGGATAGGAACGATGAGAAGATTAATAATAGTAATACAGTCTTAGTAAATAATTTGACAGTGTTGTGGGAGTTATTTGTTTAGCAAAGTAATGGTGTTCGGGGAAAAACTGTTCATGTGTTCTGGTGTGCAGTGCTCTATAGTGTCGTTTTGAGGGGAGGAATTAAAACAGTTTATGTACAGGATGTGAGGAGTCTGTAAATATTTTCACAGCCCTCTTTTTGACTCATGCAGTATACAGGTCCTCAGTGGAAGGCAGGTTGGTAGTAATTGTTTTTTCTGCAGTTCTAATTATCCTCTGAAGTCTGTGTCTATTTTGTTGGCTTGCAGAAGCAAACCAGACAGTTACAGAGATACAGATGACAGACTCAATAATTCCTCTGTAGAACTGTATCAGCAGCTCCGTGGGCAGTTTGAGATTTCTGAGTTGGCACAGAAAGAACATTCTTTGTAGTGCTTTTTTGATGACATTTTTGATATTAGATTTTTGTAGGTTTTAGGTTTTGAGAAATGGTAGAACCTAGAACTTTGAAGGTCTCTACTGTTGATGCTGTGTTGTCTAGTATTGTAAGAGGTGGTAGTATGGGTGGTAGTATCTCCTAAAGTCCATCATCATTTCTATGGTTTTGAGTGTGTTCAGTTCAAGATTGTTCTGGTCACACCACAAGGCTAGTTTTATCTCCTGTCTATGCGGATTTATCATTGTCTCAAATGAGACCGATCATTGTTGTATCATCTGCGAACTTTATAGTTTAACAGATGGATCGTTTGAGATGCAGTCATTGGTATATATAGAGAAGAGAAGTGGGGAGAGCACAAAACCTGTGGGGTGGCTGTGCTGATTGTACAGGTATCTGATGTGATTTTTGCCTAGCTTCACCTGCTGCTTCCTGTCTGTTAGGAAGCTTATGATCCACTTACAAGTGTGTTCAGGTACCGCTAGTTGGTTTAGCTTAGTTAGAAGAATGTCTGGAATGATGGTATTGAATGCTGAACTATGGGGACCTTTACATAGGTCTTTGGAGATTCAAGATGTTGTAGGATGTAGTGCAGAGCCTTATTAGTAGCAGCATCTGTCGATCTATTTGCTCAATATGCAAATTTAAGGGTGTCTAACAGCAGATCCATGATAGTTTCCAGGTGAGCCAGCACTAACCTTTAAAAGGTCTACACATGTTAGAGCAACTGGTCTATAGTCATTCAGTTCCTTGATGGAGGACTTCTTCGGAACTGGGATGGGAGTAGAGTGTTTGAAGCAAGAAGGAACAGAGCACATCTATAGTGATTTATTGAAAATTCGGGTGAAAATGGGGGCCAATTGGTCAGCACAGACTTTTAAGCAAGAAGGAGAGGGGACAAAGAGAAAACACCTAATTTATTGTAACCAAAAACAGCCAAAAATGCTTAAGTTTGAAAAGGAGGTAACTTGGTAACCCATGTCAAGTGACACTGAAACAGGAAGATATCAGTCATATCCCTTGTCCTAAGGATCTTTCTGAGTAAATAGAATGAGTTAATGCAGGGTGATGCAGAGAGCAAATTGGCAGTGTTTTAGCAGTATTAAATGGGGATTGTTCACTTTCATCAGCAGTTATTTATTTATAATTCTTTAGGAAAAAACTGCCAACAACTCAGAAGAAATGCCTGAATGTCATGCTGTGGCTGAGAAACATTCCTCAGAATCTGTAAAAGAAAAAGGTGATACCAAGTGTGATGTGTTTGAGTTTTCCATAAAAAAACAGCAGTCCACAAGTAACTATTGCATTACCCATTAAATTAATGAGAATTTGTTTAGATACATTTCAATTTTTGAGCTGATAATGGTGATACAATGCCTAATTATTCTGAAGAGGCGTTGTGGCGCAGTGGTTAGCATGCAGTATTGCAGGCTAATTTTGCTCACATTGCCAGGAGTTTGATTCCTTTGATCCTGATCCTAACCGGCTCAAGTTTGACTTAGCCTTCCATCCTTTCAAGGTCAGTAAAAGGAGGACCCAGATTGTTGGAGGCAATATGATCACTCTGTAAATCACTTACAGCGTGCTGTAAAACATTGTGAAGCGGTATATACCTAAATCAAGTGCAGAAAATTCCAGAAAATTTAAAACTTCAGATTGAAAAGCCTCTCAGACAAGTTATTCAAAAGGTGTACAGTGATCCTTTTCTTGCAGCAGTTAGCTGTACAATCTTAGCAGTAGAATTACAATATTTATATTTATATTATAGTAGTTTCCTTGAATATTATTTTTCCTTATACTCCCTACTTAATTACCTGGACATGAAATCTAAAAAATTATTCAGAAGCGACATGGAAAGGAGAATCCATTAACATTTAGCTGTTACTCAGAGGTGTTTGCAGAAGGGCAAGAGATAAAACGGTTGTGATGATTTGCATCAGATGACAGGAAACAAGTATGCAGTCTTTGCATTTTGTGATGACATTGCTATGCATGTGGTATTAGTTTTACCTATTTGCTACTTAGAATGTTACTTGCCTCCTAAGATGTAGAAGCTGTTTCCTACTTCTTTTCAAATAGATAAATTAGTTGCAAGATCAAATTTGGGTTGGCTGTCTGGTCACCGGGACCAGAGATTTACTTTTCCAAGCAAAATGATTGAAGCCTAGGGAATGGGTCCCTTGTCAGTTAACAGGAGTGTTGATTTACCACTAGCTTATCAAATACTTAAGAGCTGAGGGTTTGGCAGCACAAGGAAATGACAGCCAGTCGCCAGCTATCAACACACCAATCAGCCAATAAGAAGGCCCCACATAAACATGACTCAACAGAACAGCCCAAAGCATGTATTCTAGTACAGAGAAGTTCCCTGAAGATGGGCTCCATCATGAGTCTGAAAGCTCGGAGGAGTACATCCCTGGTCCCATTGACCGACCTAAATTTGATCTCACATCATTATCCTAGGACACAGAAATTTGTCTTCATTCATGAGATAAATTATAAACCATTCCATGTTGTGGATACTGTGTTGAACAAGATAAAGTAGATAGGGTGGTTTTCTATTATTTGACATTTCTGTCCTGTAGAAGCAATAATACTTATTTCTATTCTTTGGGACAATCAGTTCCTGATTAATTTTTAGCATAATAAATAGCCATATAAATGTGAATTTTAGATCCATGATACAAAATATAAGGCAAGTAATTATCTGAAGTTTACTAAGGTTGTCATAAAGGTAAAAATGATTGGGTGTGCAGCAAATGGAAGCCAGACTTATGCTGTTCAGAGGAAGTTAACAGATTATGCCGTTGCTAAAAATAATTATATAAGCATTTCATGTAAGTTGGGTTTCTTGAATTTCTTTCCTGCAGACAAAATTATTGGCAGAATGGATAGTTCTAGCACTTCAGGTCTGGAATCCAGTTTGAATCCTGTTGAGGGAAGCAGTCTGGTCAGTATCAGTCACACATTTGAAAGTTGCTTGTGTGTGCTTCAGGTGATCATGTTTTGCCCAATTGTAACAATATAAAAGACAAAAAAACAAACTAACAAACAATTCACTAATGCTTTTCTAGGTAATCAAGATAACAGCTACTTTGCAGATAATTCATGGATCAAAATCCTTAACTATTTAGCTCCTAATGTAATCTGAATGAAGGAAAGAAAGAAAAAAAACTGCTTTGTATTGTAAAAAAATGAACCTTTTTGAGTTCAGATAGTCCTCAAGTTACAATCGTAATGGAGGCCATTATGGTTAAACTAAATGGCCTTACAACCCCCAGCCCTTGCTCTCTATGATGCAGCTATTAAATTAACTTACAGGATGTTAAGTGAAGCACAAAGTACCTTGGGGAGGGAGAGACCCTAGGAGGCCTAATGCAGGCCAAGGCTTGCCTGCCCTGAGGTTTTCCCACCTCCTGAAGCACTCTGTGCTGTGCTTCTCACCTCTTGCAGTCCTTCAGCTTCCTATCCACCCAGCAACCTAGAAGACAGCAGACCAGCTGGTGTTTGCAAATTCATACTATTCTGCAACATGTGCTATTGTAATACTAAGGGGGCTCCATTTAAAAGGCTGCCCTCTACAGGTTCGTGAGAATAACAACTGCTTTGCCCCGAGGCTGGTTCAGTAAGAAAGCTGATCCTGTGTCTCAGAAACTGCAAAAAGAAAAGTAAGTTGGGTGCTGCTGGACCCTGGAGCAGGCCAAGACCTGCAAGTCCCTAGGTTGGAGGGCAGCTGGAGGCTTGCAAACACCAAATGACCTGATCTCCCCTTGCTTTCTTGGTGGGAAGGAAGCTGGGAAGCTTGCCAATTTGCATGGGCTACAGTTGGCCTGATCTCCCCTGAGTCGATTAATGGCTACAGGCACCCGGTGGGGCAGGATAGGTGAGTGGATAGATGCTGCAGCATCCCTGTGGTTGGTTCTAAGGGCAAATGACTTCAGGGGTGCTGCAACGTCCATAACTTTTGAAACTGAATCATAAGTAGTTTTGGGGGAGTTAACTGAACAGTTACTAAGCAACTGGTCATAGGTTGAGCACTATCTGTAGTTGTGATTGTGAAGCATGTCAAACTCTAAACAGAGTGTTTTAAACTTGGAACACTTCTTTTCTGACTGAAACCAAAATGCTCAGGCTATAAAATAAAGACTTCAATTTCTTACTCAGAACTAGTCATTTTTTGAAAATTCATGAAATATTTTGCATACCCTAGAGACTAACAACCACTTTTCATTGGTGCTAACCTGCAAAAAAAAAGGTTAGATCACAGTAAATCTGTTTGTTATTAATTTTCTTTAATGGTTCTCAATCTTTTTTCCTTCCTTATATTTGTTTTAGAGGATATCTTCAAGTGTTCTTTTTAACTAATAATAATCTTTTGGCTTGTTTGGTACAGCAGCAAGTAATAGTTAAACGAAAAAGAGGAAGACCTCGCAAATATCCTCTTGAAATAGCAGCAGTGCAGAGTAAGTATGATAACATCCCTTTCTAAAAAATAGATACCAGTGTTTCACTGAATTCAGGAATTTTATTCTTTCATTCCAGGTCAGGATTCAGCATTGGACACAGTCATGAGAAATGTAAGCATTTGGTGGGGTATTTCGTCTGCATGCAGAAGTTGAGGGATTATTTTCTTTCTATGGAATTTATTTGTATAGTGTTTGTTTGATAAAGCAAACATTGGCAGGATCAAGAAGACAATTTCACTCAGTATAATATCAGTACTGGGCCCCACTTTTAAAACACCCTTTCTCTGAGAGGATCCTGACCCTCCTCACCTTCTGAAAAGCCTTGAAGAACTGACTTTTTCCAGATATCTTGGGGTAGTGTGTAGCTGGAACCCAATTAAATTGTTTTTTCAAAGTGAACGGAGTATTGTTTTTGGAAACACTGGAAGTTTTTGTGCTTCTTATTATCCCTGTTTTTAGGCTGTCTAAGGTTATGATATATTAGGTTGGTGGCTATATAATTTTTTAAAGAATATTCTTTTAAACATGATTCTTTCAACCCCAAAACATAATTTGTTTTCTTTTGTACAATGGCATTCACCATTTATTTACTATATACTGTATATATGCTGCACATTTTTCAAGGTTATAAAATATCTAGGATAACAACATTAAAACAATCATCAATAAAAAATGAACCCAACCCCAAATAATAATTATTTCAATAGTACTATTAGCCATAGTGGTGGAGTGGTTAAAATGCAACATTGCAGGCTAACTCTGCCAGCTGTTCAGTCCTGACCAGATCAAAGTTGACTCATCCTTCCACACTTCCAAGGTCCGTAAAATAAGGAGGCAATTGGGGGCAATGTGCTGACACTATAAATTGCTTAGAGAGACATTTAAAGCACTATGAACCAATATATCAGTCTGTTGTTGCTTTTTTTTAAAAAAGGTGTGTCCACTAATGCATCTCAGCATTCAAAGTGTGCTTTTCTCCTGGGCTTGATGGAAAAGCCAGGTCCAACTTGTATTCCTGAAACCCAGCAGGGAAGAAGTAAATCAAATCTCCATAAGGTAGAGGTTTGAGGATAGTGATTGAAAATAACTATATTTTAATCCAATCAGACATTGTTCTCAGAAAGATGGTCCTGGAGGGAAATGTTCACGTTCAATTAGATCAGATCTGCAGGTGAATACAGCAGAAAGTTTCCCATAGGTGACCAGGTCTGAAGCCTTGCCAAAGACCTGGGTGAAGAGCCAAGTCTTTACAACAGCAAAGTGTGTTGGGGGGGGGGGGGCATCTGGATCGTAGGAGGAACTTTGTTGCAGAGTGCAGGCACTGCTACCCAGAAGGTGTGTTTCCAGGTTCTGATTTGAAATTGTGTTTATATTAGTTAATGATAGTGTTTAATTGAAGGAACCTGGAATGTGCCAATTGTGCCTTATACAACTGGCTGAACTGTTGCTATAGGAGACAGGTGCTCCCTCAAGTAACCAGGCCCTATGTCATGTAGGCCATTAAGTAGATAAACAATGTATAGATAAATAAAAGAATGCCCTTCTTTTTTACTCAAATGTCTATACATGAATGCACAGATTATGAGAACTAAACAGGGAGAATTAGAAATTCAAGTACATGAGGGCAGATATGATATTAAGAGCCAAGGTGGCGCAGTGGTTAAATGCAGCACTGCAGGCTACTGCTAGATCAGCA